AAACTAATGTACAAGAAATACCTATTTTAGTTTATTGACCAACACTGCATAATCTTCACAATTGAACATATTTAAGTCTTTGGAAGTCTACACGACGCACAGTTAACAACTCGATGAAGTGTTTAGTGGTGTGTTGTTCCCTATAATTGTTTACTGACAAAATTTTGTTATTCCTACCAATTTTTGTACAATAAAAAGAGCGATCTTTTGCTGTTAACCGAAGTGTCTCTGTTGTTATAAAGTGGTAGGGTTGGATAAATGCTATCTGAAGACGATGTGGTTTGGTTATAATGTGTGAGATTGTTATAATGTGTGGGGATTGTTATAATGTGTGGGGATTGTTATAATGTGTTGGGATTGTTATAATGTGTGTGAGTTTTTATAATGTGTGGGATTGTTATGTGGGGATTGTTATAATGTGTGAGATTGTTATAATGTGTGAGATTGTTATAAAATGTGGGATTGTTATAATGTGTGGGATTGTTATAATGTGTGGGGATTGTTATAATGTATGGGATTGTTATAATCTGTGGGGATTGTTATAATGTGTGGGGATTGTTATAATGTGTTGGGATTGTTATAATGTGTGGGATTGTTATAATGTGTGAGATTGTTATAAAATGTGGGATTGTTATAATGTGTGGGATTGTTCTAATGTGTGGGGATTGTTATAATGTGTGGGATTGTTATAATGCGTGGGATTGTTGTAATGCGTGGGGTTGTTATAATGTGTGGGATTGTTATAATGTGTTAGGATTGTTATAATGTGTTGGGATTGTTATAATGTGTTGGGATTGTTATAATGTGTTGGGATTGTTATAATGTGTGTGAGTTTTTATAATGTGTGGGATTGTTATGTGGGGATTGTTATAATGTGTGAGATTGTTATAATATGTGAGATTGTTATAATGTGTGAGCTTGTTATAATGTGTGGGATTGTTATAATGTGTGGGATTGTTATTATGGGTGGGATTGTGATAATGCGTGGGATTGTTATTATGCGTGGAATTGTTATTATGCTTGGGGTTGTTATAATGCGTGGGATTGTTATAATGTGGGGTATTGTTATAATGTGTGGGGATTGTTATAATGTGGGGTATTGTTATAATGTGTGGGGATTGTTTTAATGCATGGGATTGTTATAATGTGTGGGGATTGTTATAATGTGGGGTATTGTTATAATGTGTGGGGATTGTTATAATGTGGGGTATTGTTATAATGTGTGGGGATTGTTATTATGTGTGGGATTGTTGTAATGTGTGGGATTGTTATAATGCGTGGGATTGTTATAATGCGTGAGATTGTTATAATGCGTGAGATTGTTATAATGCGTGTGGATTGTTTTAATGCGTGGGATTGTTGATTGTTATAATGTGGGGGGATTGTTATAATGCGGGGGATTGTTGTAATGCGTGGGATTGTTATAATGCGTGGGATTGTTATAATGCGTGGGGATTGTTATAATGCGTGGGATTGTTATAATGTGTGGGGTTGTTATAATGCGTGGGATTGTTATAATGTGGGGTATTGTTATAATGTGTGGGATTGTTATAATGTGTGGGATTGTTATAATGCGTGGGGTTGTTATAATGCGTGGGATTGTTATAATGCGTGGGATTGTTATAATGCGTGGGATTGTTATAATGCGTGGGATTGTTATAATGCGTGGGATTGTTATAATGCGTGGGATTGTTATAATGCGTGGGATTGTTATAATGCGTGGGATTGTTATAATGCGTGGGATTGTTATAATGCGTGGGATTGTTGTAATGCGTGGGATTGTTATAATGCGTGGGATTGTTATAATGCGTGGGATTGTTATAATGCGTGGGATTGTTATAATGCGTGGGATTGTTGTAATGCGTGGGATTGTTGTAATGCGTGGGATTGTTATAATGTGTGGGATTGTTATAATGTGTGGGATTGTTATAATGTGTGGGGATTGTTATAATGTGGGGTATTGTTATAATGCGTGGGATTGTTATTATGCGTGGGATTGTTGTAATGCGTGGGGTTGTTATAATGCGTGGGATTGTTGTAATGTGTGGGGTTGTTATAATGCGTGGGATTGTTATAATGTGGGGTATTGTTATAATGTGTGGGATTGTTATAATGCGTGGGATTGTTATAATGCGTGGGATTGTTGTAATGCGTGGGATTGTTGTAATGCGTGGGATTGTTATAATGTGTGGGATTGTTATAATGTGTGGGATTGTTATAATGTGTGGGGATTGTTATAATGTGGGGTATTGTTATAATGCGTGGGATTGTTATTATGCGTGGGATTGTTGTAATGCGTGGGGTTGTTATAATGCGTGGGATTGTTGTAATGTGTGGGGTTGTTATAATGCGTGGGATTGTTATAATGTGGGGTATTGTTATAATGTGTGGGATTGTTATAATGTGTGGGATTGTTATAATGCGTGGGATTGTTATAATGCGTGGGATTGTTGTAATGCGTGGGATTGTTGTAATGCGTGGGATTGTTATAATGCGTGGGATTGTTGTAATGCATGGGATTGTTGTAATGCGTGGGATTGTTATTATGCGTGGGATTGTTGTAATGCGTGGGATTGTTATAATGCGTGGGATTGTTGTAATGCGTGGGATTGTTGTAATGCGTGGGATTGTTGTAATGCGTGGGATTGTTATAATGTGTGGGATTGTTATAATGCGTGGGATTGTTGTAATGCGTGGGATTGTTGTAATGCGTGGGATTGTTGTAATGCGTGGGATTGTTGTAATGTGTGGGATTGTTATAATGCGTGGGATTGTTGTAATGCGTGGGGTTGTTATAATGTGTGGGATTGTTATAATGCGTGGGATTGTTTCAATTAAACAAGTTTACTTAGTCAGTCTCAACAACTAAAACCATGTAACCGTTGGAACCGTTCGGCAATCATAGCTCCTATTGCAACATCACTTAACATTGAGGAAAAAACCACAGGAAAGTGGTAATCTTTTGATAGTTTTATTTTGATTCATTTCATGATTTATCTGGTAAACAAACCTTCCCAATATATCACATCAATACAATAACATTAATTTTATCTTTCATTAGTTATGATTTGAAGTTTCCAATACATGACAATATACACATTACTCGGTACATACACACAATGGTTCGTGTGTTGACAGAACGTCTATCACCCCACACAACTCACTCAACCTCTTAAAACAGTCAAACAATGTGGCAAGTGACATCACATTAAGATTTAAAGAAGCAACATAAACATCCATACTCAATAGTTCTACAAACAAATATAACAAAAGTTGACGTGTTGACAACCGGTAATACTAACACAGTAAACAACTACCTTGAATACTGATAGTGTTATAGAAATCTCTGGAGTACGTTACGAGTAGTAGTCTACCCTAGTGTCTACAGATACTGATAGTGTCATAGAAATCTCTGGAGTACGTTACGGGTAGTAGTCTACACTAGTGTCTACAGATACTGATAGTGTTATAGAATTCTCCGGAGTACGTTACGAGTAGTAGTCTACACTAGTGTCTACAGATACTGATAGTGTTATAGAAATCTCTGGAGTACGTTACGAGTAGTAGTCTACACTAGTGTCTACAGATACTGATAGTGTTATAGAAATCTCTGGAGAACGTTACGAGTAGTAGTCTACACTAGTGTCTACAGATACTGATAGTGTTATAGAAATCTCTGGAGAACGTTACGAGTAGTAGTCTACACTAGTGTCTACAGATACTGATAGTGTTATAGAAATCTCTGGAGAACGTTACGAGTAGTAGTCTACACTAGTGTCTACAGATACTGATAGTGTTATAGAAATCTCTGGAGAACGTTACGAGTAGTAGTCTACACTAGTGTCTACAGATACTGATAGTGTTATAGAAATCTCTGGAGAACGTTACGAGTAGTAGTCTACACTAGTGTCTACAGATACTGATAGTGTTATAGAAATCTCTGGAGAACGTTACGAGTAGTAGTCTACACTAGTGTCTACAGATACTGATAGTGTTATAGAAATCTCTGGAGAACGTTACGAGTAGTAGTCTACACTAGTGTCTACAGATACTGATAGTGTTATAGAAATCTCTGGAGAACGTTACGAGTAGTAGTCTACACTAGTGTCTACAGATACTGATAGTGTTATAGAAATCTCTGGAGAACGTTACGAGTAGTAGTCTACACTAGTGTCTACAGATACTGATAGTGTTATAGAAATCTCTGGAGAACGTTACGAGTAGTAGTCTACACTAGTGTCTACAGATACTGATAGTGTTATAGAAATCTCTGGAGAACGTTACGAGTAGTAGTCTACACTAGTGTCTACAGATACTGATAGTGTTATAGAAATCTCTGGAGAACGTTACGAGTAGTAGTCTACACTAGTGTCTACAGATACTGATAGTGTTATAGAAATCTCTGGAGAACGTTACGAGTAGTAGTCTACACTAGTGTCTACAGATACTGATAGTGTTATAGAAATCTCTGGAGAACGTTACGAGTAGTAGTCTACACTAGTGTCTACAGATACTGATAGTGTTATAGAAATCTCTGGAGAACGTTACGAGTAGTAGTCTACACTAGTGTCTACAGATACTGATAGTGTTATAGAAATCTCTGGAGAACGTTACGAGTAGTAGTCTACACTAGTGTCTACAGATACTGATAGTGTTATAGAAATCTCTGGAGAACGTTACGAGTAGTAGTCTACACTAGTGTCTACAGATACTGATAGTGTTATAGAAATCTCTGGAGAACGTTACGAGTAGTAGTCTACACTAGTGTCTACAGATACTGATAGTGTTATAGAAATCTCTTGAGAATGTTATGAGTAGTAGTCTACACTAGTGTCTACAGATACTGATAGTGTTATAGAAATCTCTGGAGTACGTTACGAGTAGTGGTCTACACTAGTGTCTACAGATACTGATAGTGTTATAGAAATCTCTTGAGAATGTTATGAGTAGTGGTCTACACTAGTGTCTACAGACAGATGAATACTAATAGTGTTATAGAAATCTATATAGAAATAGCAGTACCCTAACAACAGTATATTTACTGTCACTATAAATATAATAGGCATACAAATATCACCATATCACATACCATAACCTGGCCTTCATAACTGAACATCACAGCATGCTACGTAATTAAACAACATATCACTGAACATACACCTCAACTAAACAACATATCACTGAACATACACCTCAACTAAACAACATATCACTGAACATACACCTCAACTAAACAACATATCACTGAACATACACCTCAACTAAACAACATATCACTGAACATACACCTCAACTAAACAACATATCACTGAACATACACCTCAACTAAACAAAGTATCACTGAACATACACCTCAACTAAACAACATATCACTGAACATACATCTCGACTAAACAACGTATCACTGAACATACAGCTCGACTAAACAACATATCACTGAACATACACCTCAACTAAACAACATATCACTGAACATACATCTCGACTAAACAACATATCACTGAACATACACCTCAACTTAACAACAGGGCACAGGACATACAACTAAACTAAACAACATATCACAGGACATACACCTCAACTAAACAACATATCACTGAACATACACCTCAACTAAACAACATATCACTGAACATAAACCTCAACTAAACCACAGGGCACAGGACATACAACTAAACTAAACAACATGTCACAGGACATACAACGAAACAACATATCACAGGACGTACACCTCAACTAAACAACATAACACTGAACATACACCTCAACTAAACAACATATCACTGAACATTCATCTCGACTAAACAACATATCACTGAACATACACCTCAACTAAACAACAGGGCACAGGACATACAACTCAACGTATTAACATAACACAGCATACAACTCAACTAAACAACATGTCACTAAACATACAACTCAACTAAACAACAGGGCACAGGACATACAACTCAACTAAGCAACATGGCACAGCATACAACTCAATTAAACACAGCATACAACTCAACTAAACAACATGTCACAGGACATACAACTCAACTAACCAACATGGCACAGCATACAACTCAACTAAACAACACAGTATACATACTTGACAACACTAAACATGGCATACAACATAATGAGGTCAATTAAACCAAAATGACTCACAACATAATGAGTTGTTAACATAACTTAAAGTGACCAGATTGACGGGTGCTACTCTGTAAAAAGAGACGAAACGTCCTGGAAAGGTCAGTGGACTTGACACCCTGTCAATACTAGCGGACTCAATACTTCAATGAAACATTTAACAATGTAAAACACATCATCTTTCAAGGAAATAATATTACCTCCCCGAAGCAAGTAAATTACTTGAAAACTTTTTACGAGTGATTTAGCTAAAACAACAATTGAAATTGATAATAATAGCACCAGGAAGGCCTGGATCACATAATGACTTACAAGACAAGAAAATGGCTGACAGAGGTATACCTTGATTTTTACATCAATTAAGGTTATATTTTTTTGACAACTATTCAACATCAGTCAAATATGGCAGTTCTTCATTGCATGTTTAAGAGGAAACTTAACAGATACCATTTCAATGTCATTTGATCATTATTCATTCAGGTCACATGACAATCACATGTTTTGAAAGCCCTGTTATACGAATGATAAACGAGGAAATAGCTATAAATACAACTGTACATCCCATGGTAACAAATTTGCATAGCCAACTTTTTGTTTAGAGTGGCCTGCAGGTAGAATCTCCCCAATACTATGTTTACATTGACATTACGATACTCTCTCGAAAATAAATTTCACTACAAATAAAATATCGAACAATGATACTAGGGGTTTTGCTAGTCTGGGGAAAGAATTTATTTGGAGATACACATATGCATCGAATTGCTTTAGAAAATAGAAATGATCAGACAAAAAAAAAAGCTATGAAATTAGGGAAACAACAATTCCGGTCCCGTACAGACAGGTGAATCTAACGTTCAACAAGGGTTTTACAACTTCCTACCACGCATATGTAACATTATACAAAAGAACAAAGACGGCCTTATAGAACTTACACATACTTCCCTATAGAACTTACACACACTTCCCTATAGAACTTACACACACGGCCCTATAGAACTTACACACATGGCCCTATAGAACTTACACACACTTCCCTATAGAACTTACACACACTTCCCTATAGAACTTACACACATGGCCCTATAGAACTTACACACACTTGTCCAACAATGTCATTGGTTGGATCATAATCATGTGGAGGTAAGAGATTTGTGATATTGACTTTATTTTGCTATTTTTAGAAACAGCAGGTCAAACATTCACTTTATGTTGTCACTTCAATTGTAACGTCACCATGCTCTACACCGAATGCAGTATTTTCCTCCAGAAAATTTGCAGACATTCTATCTTGTTTAAATGATTTAAACGTTATTTAGCATCTGATATAACAAAGAAGGACTTTAATTTTTTGGTGATTATGTGGTCATATGGACCTAAAAAGGTGATATTAACCTTGATTTTATTTTCACAGGTTCATATAACCACATGTTCACCTCAACAAAGGTCAATACTTGATAAATAGTCTGAAATATCGTTGTCATCACAGGTTATATCTTTAATACTAAACTTAAATATGGTTTTTTTAATCTAAATTATACCTTCATATATCAGTCCCACATAATGAGAAATTTCAGTCGAACAGATATTGATTTGAAGCCCCAAAATTTGCAGCCAAATCGGAAGCCATGGCAGCCATATTGGGTGTGAGGGTTAAAAATGAAGATAATTAACATCTGCCTGTATATATCCGTGTTCAGTTTCATTAGAATCTGTCCTGTAGTATTTGTTTGGGACTTGCTCCCGATGATTCTAGAAGAAGAAATAAGTAAAGTTGGTTAACTTTGTCGGTGGGTTTTGATTAACTTGTATCTTGATACATAAAGACAAAAGTTAAAGTTAACATAGAAAAAGATGGCGCATGGCATAAATCAATGTTAATAAAGTTGAAAGAGAGTATATAAAACAGCAATCAATCTAAACAGATTCAGGGAATATGAACAAAAATGTATCAATAATTTGTGTTTGTTGATAACAGAAGAATCTAATGGTTAGCAGTGAAACTTTCCTCACTTGAGAAAACATTAAAACCTGCTTCACAAGTACAGCAGTAATATAAGTATATCTAGATCTTTTACTCATCATCACAGTAACACAGCCAGGGTGTCAATATCTCTCACTCAGAACTCCTCTACAAGTTAAATATGAAGGCTAACCCAGGGTGTCAATATCTCTCACTCAGAACTCCTCTACAATTTAAATACACTCGCTCATCACTGTCAAAATACATTCATGTAACTGTAGTTCATTGAGGCAAAGTCTACACAATTTAATATCTCTCGCTCATAATGGTCATTAAACCTTGTTTACATGTTATTTGGAGCCTATGACTGTTACTGACTATTTTGGCTTCCTGCCTTGATAATTTTGTCAATATTGTAATTTAAACCCCACATATATTAAATGGATATTGATCTATTATGACATTTTAATCAAAGATACTGTTTTCATATTTTGACACTAATTTTGGTTAATTTTTTTATTACATACATTTTTATGCATCAAACAAATGTCATTTAAAAACACATTTACAAATTTCAATGATAAAAAAAATGAAAAAAAGGTGTAAAAGTTTAAAATCAGTACAGATTGCATTTTTGACATAATAACTTCTACTGACTTGATATGATAAACACAGCCTTTAAGCCCTCAAACTCTCATCAAATACTAGATCATTTCAGAACTTGCTTTTAAAAGTACAAGTTGAAACAATCTGTACTTGAGATTTTCTAAGATTGTCCGGTATATACAACAAGTTTTAAACACAGTGAAAAGCATTCCTTTTTCCTGGTCTCTGAATATTGTCTCTAAATCAAGTACATGTACCCTCTGTTTTATTCATTCATCTGATGGCAATTTATACTAAATGTTTAACGGAACTCACAAGGCTATTTCAATGTCAAATCATCTCAAAGCTGGAGAAAATTGGGCCTACTTCAGGAGTAAAACCAGGTTCACAACATCAAGGACTATGTCCTGGGATGAAAACACGATGTTAAAATGACCTTCTAATGTTTGAAAGATTTTGTTTTTTTGGATACTTGAAAAGAGACAAAAATACTGAATAACAGGAAACTTTTGCACAGTCAAACTTAGTCCTACATTTGTAAAATCCATATTATTTCTGTTTATTTTCGCCTTTTAAATGTAAATAAATATATATGATACCAAATTTGCCATTATTAGCCCCCCTAAGGTGCTTAAAAAGTTGGCTTGGAGGGAGGAGGGGGCGTTTATTGGGACAGTAAAATCAGAGATATGATGGAAGAATTTACTTTCAACCAGTTGTTATCACTAAAGGATATTATAAACATTCCAGCGTGGCTCGAACTGATCGCAAATAACAGAGTTCATCCCTCTCACACTTGAACAGATTCTGGGCATAAATCTCTGATATGAAGGGTAAGTATCATTAATAGTAGATTGGGCCGCGTCTGGACTGGAAGGGAGTCTATATAGTTTCAATTCGCCCCAGAAAAGGGAGTTAAGCCTTATAAGGGGAGGAGCCTTAATTACTGCAAATACAGTAGTACATTGTGTACTAACTTTCACAGTCATGATAAATTTGCCCTCGTTAATTTAAAGACAGAAGGGAAACTGCTGCGAAAGTTTCCCGGTACATATGCAATCAGGTTCAATCTTAACTCATTCACCCTTTGAAATTTCATAATGAACTATTCCAACCTTTGAACTGGAAGAGTTCAAATGCGTCTTCAGGGGTGAATGAGTTAATGAGAGTCTGCAGGTGTGTTCTTGAAACGACTCCCCGAGGATACTTAAATAAGGTATACTGTTTAACATTTATTTACCATAAAACAAGTCCAACAGACAGAGCATGTAGCAGTATAACGACAACAACCCAACATCAAAATCTCGATGGATATAAAGATGTAAAACAAAAACGGTTATCGAAGGATTCAAAATGCAATAATAAAAACCAGTAGCTTTCTAAAACTGCGAGTTGATTTCTAATATGCACTCGCAAAAATGTGAGTGGTTTTGAAATTAAAAAGATAAAAAATCCTCGACAAGGACATTGCACATGACAACTTCAGAAAACTGTTAAAGGCAATAAAGACAGAATGTCCATATTCAGCTGTGCATTATGATCAAATCACTTAATAAATTGAACATTTCTGTCTGAAAATCATGACAGAAAAAACATTTAATTGGAAATATCTCCATTACAATGCTACAAGTTTTAAATACCTCTTTCATGTTTCCATTACAATTTTCTACATGCCCGACTACAGAATACACAGAAGCTGGCACAAACACATCAGTACAGTTTCAGAAATATTGTCGTCTTGTGTAACAAAATAACGATTCATGGAGTCAGAAATGAAACAATGAAAAATGATTTTTTTTCTGTCTAAACTTCACGACGCTACAAGTAATAAGATTGGAAATGTATCGTATCAGTGAATGTTTACAAATATTGTATATTTTTGTTTTCATCACACACTTGTTAACATCGCAAAAGGAATAACAGAAATTGTCAATAATCTATATCATATATGAAGATCTAAGCACGTCGTCAGCGGACACATTCCTCACACAGTACCGACTAACATCTAAGCATGTTGTCAGCGGACACATTCCTCACACCTTGCCGACTGACATCTAAGCACGTCGTCACCGGACACATTCCTCACACAGTGCCGACTGACCCTTGATGAAGGTGCGACATGGACAGAGGCGCTGAAGACTGGCCGACTGACCGACACAGCTAAACAGTATCTCCTCTTTTTGTATGATACACTCGGCAGTGTTAATGTCATAAGCGGGGTAGTAAATATCTGACATCGATTTTCCCGACTTGCACGACACACCGTACTTGGTGAGAGGGTCCATAGAGTTCAGCTCTCGGAAATGACTAGGTTCACACATAAGACCTGTAAGATGGAACGAGAAAAATTGTCAAGACACAAGATGTACATACCATATACATAATAATTGGCCTTAAGGATGCAAAGTTGGTTGAAAAATGATCATTTGTTTAGGAAGAGTAGAATTTTGAGTACTTAAAGCCATAATTACTCTATTATGTGCCCAGGGCCGAGCTTAGCATCATTCTTCCTTAAAACCCATTTCACACCTAGCCGCGTTACCACTGCGATAACACAGCGTTGTTAAATTTCCCAGAGCGCCCTAAGATCGCAGAAAAGGTTAAATTTTTCATGAAGATGGGGATGTCACAGCGTTCTCACGGCGACCTTGGCGTGTCTAGGGAGCTCCATGGCGTTCCTACGGAGTTCTAGTTAGCGATTGTCTGCACTCTCACGGCGCTTCTACTGCGTGCATCGGGTTGTCACAGCACGTATAAGCGTGGAATAGACGCAGTGTAATCTCAGAGAACACCGTAACCATTGCGTTCGCACTGCGACCTCTGTGCATGCCTACGCCGATCCTGTGGCGTTGTTGGAGACCTAACTGCGCTGCGACGCCGACCTAACGGCGATCCCACTGCGCTCTAATCAGAACGCCGAGTGAAGGTGTTTGTTTTGGGCATGCTCAAAGTGCGCGCCGTAGCTCGGCATTCTATGGGATCCCACAGCATTCACTGGCGATGCTTACGATTCCACTGCGCGCAGATCGGCGTTCTGGATTTTTCTGCAAAGCTGTCGGAACACGGCCCTAGTGTGACAGGGGTTTTGTGTATGCAATAATCGATGGTCAAAGCTAGGGACAGAGGATACTTCACAAAAACTTGGGTTTAGATCCATTTACATGTGTATATGGTTACATGGGGTGGGGGTGTTTCAACTGTCTTTATGTTATGATCTAGGGACCAGGTTTCCAGGGACTGGGACAGATCCCAGGGCAAATCATGGTAGCTAGAGTATGGGACAGATCCCAGGACATGTAATGGTAACTATAGTATGGGACAAATCCCAGGGTAAATCATGGTAGCTAGAGTATGGGACAGATCCCAGGACATGTAATGGTAACTATAGTATGGGACAAATCCCAGGGTAAATCATGGTAGCTAGAGTATGGGACAGATCCCAGGACATGTAATGGTAACTATAGTATGGGACAAATCCCAGGGTAAATCATGGTAGCTAGAGTATGGGACAGATCCCAGGACATGTAATGGTAACTATAGTATGGGACAAATCCCAGGGTAAATCATGGTAGCTAGAGTATGGGACAGATCCCAGG